CCTCAATCAGATTGGTCTATTGCCATGTCTGTGAGAGATCATCTTGATTGATGATTGCTGTGGGAGAGTCCAGGCCACTGTGGGTGGCACCATCCCTAGGCAGGTGGGTCTGGGCTATATAAGACAGCTAGCTCACCATGAGCCAGGGAGCCCACCAGCAAGCAGCATTCTTCCATGGTTTCTACTTGAGTCCTACCCTGACTTCCCTCGATGAGAGATTGTGACCCTAATGTTTAAGCTGAAATAAGCACTTCTTCCCCAAGTTATTTTTGGTCATGGTGTTTATCACAGCAACAGGAACAGGAACTAGGATGGAAGTGGAAAACAGAGCAGTGACTATCAGAGACTGGGGCAGGAAGATGGGGGTTGGTCATGCTGCACAGTTACACTTGGATGGTAGTACTAAGTTCCATGTTCTGTCGCACAGTAGGTGGCTATGGTCAGCACCATGCATTGTGTATTTTAGACAGTTACTTTAGAAGACTATCATGACAAATGATAAATGTCGAAGGTAAAGTGCATGCTCATTACCCTGCTGTGACCGTCAGGCAGCACACCGAACCCCACAATATGTTGATTTTAATAAAAACAGCGAAATCATCAGAATAATAAAGATGTGAGCAACACAGCACTAAGTGGACCATGGACAGGCCTCCCACAGTGGGAGGCAGAAGCGGGGATGCTGAAGGTAGCCTTGTCTGACCTCAGCTGGGCTGTGCATGTCGATACAGGCAGCACACCGAACCCCACAATATGTTGATTTTAATAAAAACAGCGAAATCATCAGAATAATAAAGATGTGAGCAACACAGCACTAAGTGGACCATGGACAGGCCTCCCACAGTGGGAGGCAGAAGCAGGGAGGCTGGAGGTAGCCTTGTCTGACCTCAGCTGGGCTGTGCATGTCGACACTTTTCAAAGAGGTATTATTCGTCCCTGGATTAAATTAACATGCTATCTCTCATCTGAGCCCAAGTCTTTCAGAAATGTTGAAGTCCTTGTTGCTATTGGCCACTGTTTTTCTAAGGCTTGTTCAGGAGCAAGAAAAACATGTCCACAATGGACTGGACTAGATTATATCCCCGTGACAGGGAAAAACTGTCCCCTATCCACATGCACCCATAGAGAGAAATGGGTGTACCCAAGGACCTCTGTAGGGGAAGTGCACTGTGATGGATAGGCATCGATATGCTGAGACTGTGAGCTCTTCCTGAGCGCCTCCCATAATTCCCACTACGGCCTTACCTGAACATGTCCACAATGGACTGGACTAGATTATATCCCCGTGACAGGGAAAAACTGTCCCCTATCCACATGCACCCATAGAGAGAAATGGGTGTACCCAAGGACCTCTGTAGGGGAAGTGCACTGTGATGGATAGGCATGGATATGCTGAGACTGTGAGATCTTCCTGAGCCCCTCCCATAATTCCCACTACGGCCTTACCTAGAAGGTTTGGAGCTTCGAGACAGCACGTATGGTGTCATCATCCCCAAACACACACATCTGAGTACCGTGATGTGTTGTTATTCATTCTCTGGCTTGTAAGTTCTTAGTACACCCTTGATCACTGTGCATAGAAGCATGTGCACTCCATTTCGCCCACTTCCCTCTGCCTCCTGAGGCTGTTCGCTGGTCAAACAGCATCTCCCTGTAACTCCAGCTGGCCTGGAACTCACTATGTAGACCAGGCTGGCCTTGAATGCACAGAGATACCCTGCCTCTGCCTCCTGAGTGCTGGGATTAAAGGCTTGCACACCAAGCTCAGCTTTTATTTATTTTTACTTTATGTGTCTGAGTGTATTGCCTGCATGTGTGTAAGTGCACCCGTGTCATGCAATGCCCGTGGAGGTCAGAAGAAGGTGTCAGATACCCTGGGACTGGAGTTATGGATGGTTGTTAGCTGCCATGTGGGTGCTGGGAATCGAACCCGGGTCCTCTGTAAGAGCAGTCAGTGCTCTTAACCACTGAACCGTCTATCTCTCTGGTCCTGGGTAGAGACCTTTTTCAGGCTTTTGATAGCGGGACCTAGTCATTCAAAGTATGGAGTCTGCACATCTTGGTTGAGCCTTACCACCTCTAGGAGATCATTTTGTATCTTTGCTAAGTCCAAATGAGGCCCAGGATTTTCCTCATTGACTTACAGCACTTTCCAAGATCAAGCCTGGGTGCCCCCAGCCTTATATGATGTGTGTGCACACGCATGTCAACATGCACAACTTATAAGAGTTTTCATTTTCTTAAAACTTCATAATATTGACAAACTGTTTATCTCATACTTTCTGCCAGTATTTTTCACAGAAATTTTTTCTTCTAGAAGTGTCTCTTAGTATCCTTTGGAAGAGCTTTTTTTGGATGCACTCATTCATACTTTCTCTGTCTTCTCTTGCATTTTTCTAATAATGGAAAATGCAGCTGTTGAGGATGACAATTGCTAAACAAAGGCTCGGAGATGAAGAAATTGGTGTACGGCACTTTGCAGCCCATGAGCGAGAGGACTTAGTTCAGCAGCTGGAACGAGCTAAGGAACAGGTGAGTAGCACTGAGGTCTGTTATGGGTGGGCGGTGTGTGCGTGTGGCCAGACATGACAGGAGGCAGGGTACACATGCACCTAGATTTAAGACCAGAAGGAGGCTAGGGGATGCCCAGTAAGGGCTGGACTTCCTCAGTTTTTCCTAGGCTCATTCTTGGTGCCTGGTTCCCAGCTAGGTGGCACCCAGCACTGAGTGCTGTTGTTCTGAGCACACCGAGAGACTCCACACACACCAGCATAGGCGGGGAGGGAAGGAAATGTGACAAACTGGCCTTAATTCTTGAGTTTCCACTAAGATGCTGAGCAGTGCTTTGAAGGGAACATTTCAGTGGATACCAAGCCCTGCTTCAGGAGTAGCTCCAGAGCAAAGACTTCCTTTCTCTTCTCTTGCTAGTTGGTTTTGAAGAGCGGAGCAGGATGCCCAAGTCGGAGTGGGTTAGAAAAGCATACATTCCTGAGACCCTGATCTGTGCTTTCTAAGCCTGTGGCTGGGGCAGTCTGCAGAGGTTGAGCCTAGGCCTGGTTTCCTAAGCAGCTGCCCCTCTCCTGTCCCACCTACAGTAGAGTAGGTGTCAGGTAATCCCCTGCTCTAGCTCTTATCCAGTCCACAGTGTGGGTAACTATCTAGCACATGTGTGGTACTCCTAAACTCTCAAAAGTCAGCCAGCCAGTGGAGGTTGCAGCCCTAGCTGGGAAGCCCATGTCTGAGGACAGCTCTGTCAGTGTGGGCATTTCTTGGGTTTCAGATTGAGTCTTTGGAGCATGACCTGCAGGCCTCGGTGGATGAGCTCCAGGATGTTAAGGAGGAGCGGGCTTCCTACCAGAACAAAGTGGACAGGCTGAACCAGGAGCTCAACCACATCCTCGGTGGGCACGAAAACCGCATCATCGATGTAGATGCGTTGTGCATGGAAAACAGGCAGGTGGTACATGCTGGTGGGGGGTGGGGATAAGGGGGTCCCTGAAGTCCTGCCTGCATTTGAGATAGCTGCACTTTGGGTAGAAAGCAGGTCATAACCCCTGCCCCAAATGATGGCAATATACTAGTTTTAAAAGTAAGAAGAGAGGGACTGGATATCTACATATGTCCCCCCACTTCCCACACCCTCTCTCATTGACTCACAAGGATAAAAAGCCAGAGAGAGTGGTTTGTGATTGCTGTCAAGGAGAAGGGAAAGAATAAGAAAATAAATTGAGAAATTCCCTTCACTGTGTCTTTCCCCCCAGGCAGATTTCAGTGTATATATGTGTCTGACTTCATGTTATGCCTGGCATCACCTCTTCCTGGTTCGTTCCCCAGTGGAATCATCTTAATGAGAATTATGTGAAAACTGTGTTGCCATACCTTAGGGGATCTCTGTGAGGGCTGTTTTAAAGCAGGGTGTCTGGTTTGGGCATGTTTGACCTTGATTGCATCCATTTAAGAAAAGGTCACAAAGATACACATTTTCCTCTTTCTCCTCTCTGGGGCAAGAAGGAAGGCATTACATGCAAACGACAGCAGGTTTCCATGTTTAGCCCTTATCATTCAGTGGGTTTTCTTTTGCCCCCAAGCCCATCCTGGTTATATGTGCTTTTTTTCTAGATACCTTCAAGAGAGATTGAAACAGCTCCTTGAAGAGGTCAGCCTCCTGAAATCGAACATTGCCAAGTACAAGGTAGTGTAATCAAGACCATGCTAGTGATTTGCCACTGTGTACCTGAGTAGTGTCATTCCATTTTGATTCTCCTTTATGTGCCAAGACATTTCAGTGCTTTTCTGTCCTCCCAAATGGAGCCCAATAGGAGCCCTAACTGGGGTCACCAGTAGACTCTCCCAAACAGCAAACTCCTATCATCATCTTTTCCCAGTTTCTGTTTCTATGGCTGTAACCTGGACCAAGCACCCAAGACCTCCAAATTCTGTGTCCTTCCATCTTACAGCCTCGGCCCATGTTTGGGTTCCTCTCCATTTCCTCTTCACGTGTAGTTGTTGGATACTGCCTGTCTCATAATCAGCCATGAGAAAATGCTTTCTAAGGGAGAAGAATGAAGCCAGGATGTCACAACCCAAATATTAATGTTCATGGCACACTGAAAGGGTAGAATGTTCAAATTCTACCACTGTTATTTAGTCTAATTCCAGCTCCATTAGTTTGATAATATCTGTTTCTGCAGATGGTAGTTTTAAGTGTTATAATTAGAAAACTCTCCTGGGTTTCTTTGCTTTGAAAATAGATTGATGTCTCTTCCTGAGGGTGAATTTTCATAGCTGATGGGATGCTTGGGAGAGCTGGCTCATTGTCCTGGTTGTTGACATTAGCTTTTGTTCTCAGAGATCTCCAGTCGGGGGGTGGGGCTGGGGGACTACACTTCCATTTACACCAACCTATATATGAACACGAGGCCAAGGAAATATGAGCTTTTAAATATGTAGTGTAAACATGGATGCATTCATGTAGCATGTACCTTGTTCTGTGTACTAATCACTGACTGTACACTTATCAATTTGACTACAAGAATCTGTTCCAAGTACGGCACATCAGCAATGTATGTGCATTTCTTTGATCTTGTGTGTGAGGCAGACATCACTAATTGATCATGGTGCTCTTTCCAACCCAAGCATCACATCCTTCCAGATACCACCTTTGGTACAAGAAAGCAAACTTCTTCTCCATCTCATGTCTATTCCAAAGAAATTTCCATAAAAAGTGACTTCATGTGCTAGACTAGCTTCTTGCTTCAGATTTGATTTAAGGAGCATGTATTAGACACCTCTTCCTCCTATGCAGTAACTTAAAAAACAAAACAACTTTATATTGGGTCTTTAAAATCCCAAGGGCTGAGAGTCCCATGTTTAAGCCTGCATTAGGAATCTGCTGCAGTTCTTGTGAGCAGAGGGTGGGGGTGCATCTCCTTACTGAGGTATTTTTCCATTGTTGGCTTTTCTAACAAAAGTTTTTGGTTTTTTTTCCCCCATTGCTGCTGAAGAATGCTCTTGAGAGACGGAAAAACTCCAAGGGCCAGGGCAAATCCAGCAGCAGTGCTCTGACTGGGGTCCTGTCTGCAAAGCAAGGTAGGCGCAACCAAATCCAGGTAGGTCCAGCTTCTGAGAACAAAGCTGTAGTCCCGGTCCCATCTAAGCCTCGGGGTTTGAGTCTGGAAGTGAGACAATCTTGAGAACAGTGACTTCCCCACTTTACCTACATCAAGATTACCTGAGCCCTTCTTCTAACCCAGATTCCCCTGAGCTTCTGATGTGGCAGGTCTGGGGTGGGGAACCTCAGAAGCTGTAGTCTGCAGGATTCCCAGGTGGTCTGCTGCTATGGGAGACCCCACTTTAAGAGCCGCTGCATTAGTGCCCTTCTGGTGACTGGACCCATGTGGACATACTCTCCTGCAATGTCTGTCCTCTCCAGAATGTTTTTCATTTCCTGATTACCAACTGAGCGCCTCTAAGAGATGTTCAGCCTCTTTGGGAGCACTTCTGGCCTCTGCAGACAGAATGGAAAAGCCCCCTCCTGCCGAGAGACTGCACCAGGGAACACGGGAACATGTGCCTTTTTCAAAGAAGCTCTTATTGATTGCAGCTTTGTTCGTCCTTCCTGTCAATTCCGATGAAAAATAATGATCTTCCAGGAACAGTCCAGGGGAATAAATAGCAGAAAGCTTGGGTCTGGCACTTCATATTCGGCAGTCAGTTCTCGACACAAGCCTAAGTTGCCCAGACCCGCTTCCCAGCTGCTGACAGCATAGACCAGTAACTTTCAGGTCCCAGTCTTAATCAGAACTGGCTTTAAAAAACACTGGGTCTCCAGTGTTCCTAATAATCAAGACTCTTTTCATGCAACTTCCTTTTTCCACTCAATTAGAAATGAACATCCTAGAAGTGTTCTCAAACAGGAAACTATAATATTCTATAAAAGTGTGAAAAAGCCCATCTATGTGGCTCAGTGGGTAAAATGCCTGCTGTGCAACCATGAAGACCTGAGATCAGATACCCAGCACCCCTGTAAAAAGCTGGGTGTGGTGGTGCACACTTGAAATCCTAACACTGGTGAGAAGGAGACAAGAGGATCCTTGGATCTCACTGACTAGCCAGTTGAGGCTAATTGGCAAGCTCCAGATTCAGTGAGAGACTTGTCTTAAAAACTAAGGTGGAGGGGCGCTGGAGATGGCACTGCAGTTAAGAACACTGGCTGCTCTTGCAGAGAACAGAGGTTCGATTCCTAGCACCCATGTGGTGGCTAACAACCATTTGTAACTCCAGTTCTAAGGCATCCAGTACCCTCTTCTGGCCTCTATGTGCTTTGTACAATATGGGTGCACTTACATACATGCAGGCAAAACATTCATATACATAAAAATACAAATAAATAAGTAAAAACAACAACAACAACAACTAAGGTGGAGAGTGATTGAGGAAGACACTGATGTTGACCCTGGTCTGTACATGCACTCACATACCCATGCATACACATGAACATGTATACATGCATATACCCCCACTACAGAACCCCATCTGTGGTTAGCCTTGGATACCATACCTAACAAACAACTAGAGTGTGGATCCCTGTGTTGGCACTGATGTTGGCATCACCATCATGCAGAACTACACACTGATCCAAACATTCTAGAAAACCTATGAGAGAGACTCATTGCCAACAACATATTGGCATTGGTAATCAAAACTTATAAACCTTGGAGGCTGGAAAGATGACTCAGTGGTTAAGAACTCTTCATCGTCCAGAGGACCCAAACTTGATTCCCAGTACCCAGGTCAGGCAGCTCATAAACACCTGTAACTCTAGCTCCAGGGAGTCTAATGCCTGTGTTCTCCACGGGGCACCTGTGCTCACATGTTCATTACCCCCCAACAATGGCAACCCCTTATGAAAAACCTAAACAGGTCCTCTCTGAAGTAGCAAGAAATAAATTAGACATATGTGAACTTTTTGTTCCAAGAAAGTTCTTCATATAATATAAAGTTATATATATGTATGTATTAATTGGAAATGACATATTTAGCAGCAGCTAAATGAGTCATTACATACCTATATGGGCTATTAAAGCAGGTATTAACGTTTATGTTTCAGGGAATATTAATGATGTGGAATATTGCTAAGTGAAAAAGTAGTGTTTTCCTCAATATAGGAGAAAATACTGTATGAATCTGCATGTGTACATGTGGTCATGTGGGAGATGATATTCAAAGAGAATCACAGTGTTTGTTATTTTCTGGGAGGAAAACCAGGGTGGTTGCTTTGTGTTTCCCCTCCTTTCCCCTTTCTATAGTGCTATGTTACTTTTGCAATAAGTAGGGAGTTAGGGCAAAGAGTGACTGTCCTTTGCATGGTAATATGGCCTCTTGCCAGTGTTTTTAACCCCTCTATGACTTGCTTTCTTGTTTTCAAAATGGAAATAATGCTTGCCAGGTGTTTTTTTTTTTTTTTTCAGTTTTAAGCCTCAATGACTTAGCTTGAAAGTGTCTTACTATACTGGGAAAATGAATATATTACCCTCCAAAAAGTTACTGAGATGGAAAGATGGAGAGATGAGTATGGCTCAGTGAGAGAGCACTTGCCTGCCATGTGCAGAGCTCTGGGTTCCATCTGAGTATGAAAAAGAAAAAAGAAAAGAAAAAAAAAGGAAAAAAAAGGAAAAGACTTTTCTGCTTGACTCTCAGACTGGGTATTATGCTGTTTTACTTTTGATACTTAAGGGTGACTCTCAGTTCAGCACAGTAACATTACAAAGTGGCTCTCAGTTCAACACAGTAACATTGCAAAGCTCAGGACTCTCCATCATCCAGGAAGAACAGACATGGGATTGCAGTCCCATGTTCCAGACTTCATGACTAAGCTGTCAGCTTTGTGTCCACAGTTCAGGATCTGCTCTCTGAGGATCATGGGTGCAGCCTCCCAGCTACTCCACAGTCCATCGCAGACCTGAAATCTCTGGCCACTGCCCTGCTGGAGACAATCCATGAGAAAAACATGGTCATTCAGCACCAGCGGCAGACCAACAGGTATGCAGTAGGCTCTTGGGCTGGGGGTGGGTAGGAGAGCAGGGATGAGTTTCCTGAAATTTGTAAACCACAGACCTTCCAGGAAGAAGTAACCTCCAGAAATCTAGGGGGGGAAAAAACCCACGAAACCAGAACTGGGCTTTTGCTCTACAGGATGTATCCCAGTTATCCACATCCAGTTATCCACAGAGTCAACACAACATGAATCCTGGTGTCTTAGTAAGTGTTTTCTCTAAGCCCCACACTGAGAAATGCCCAGGTCATAGGGGCTCCCGTAGGACAATGCTGGGTCTCTTACCCTGCCTCTCTCCCAGGTCTCCTTTGAGGCAGGTCCCTCTCCAACCTCAGGACTTGACTCAGGGTTTCTGACTGGCAGGAACCCGACCATCAACTTCTACAAGCTGCTGGGCCTGTCAGGGATCCTCATGTTGCTCTTCCAGATAAGTGAGGAAAGATGGTGAGATGGAAATATGAGTGAAGCAGAACGTCCTGTCTGGTAGTTAAGGTAGGTTAAAGCAGCAGTCAGAGTAACAGAACAAAGTTGAAAATGCTCTGAGAGTGCGAAGAATAAATGTTGGACATGCCAGTCCATGTTCTGTTCCTTTTACTGAATATCTGAGACAAGACCATTTACAGAATTTTTTAAAACCAAGAAACTTACTTCTCAGACATGCCTCAGGAAGCTGAGAAGTGCAAAAGCATGCTACCAGCTCTCACAATGGCCAGCTTGCTGCATCCAAATATGACTCAGGTACCACCTGGCCAAGCGTAGCAGGCATGCTCGCCTGAACCTCTTTCTCATAAAGTCACGAATGTCATCATAGGGGCTTCATCATCCTGGCCTCATCTCATTGTACTCACCTCCCAAAGGTCATTAGCATTGACCTATGAGCTTGGAGAGTCACCTTTCAACACAGGAACACACTCAAATCATAGATAGGTCAGCTTTGTGGCATGCGAACTATGCTGAGGGCTTGACATCCCATGGGATGTTGCTGTTGCCATCTTGAAGCTCATGATAATTTTTTTCACAAGAGGAGCTTGCATTTTTATCTTACACAGATCCTGGCTAATTATAAAGCTGATGCTGCTCCCAAGACCCACACTGAGCACCGCAATGACACGGCAAAAGAACTGAGCAAGAGCAGCAGTGTTAGGCCTGGTATCAAGAGAGGGAGCAGAGAATTGGGGCTGCTAAAGGCAGAGACACCCAAGGAAGAGGCCATGGAGAAATGATTGAAAGTATTATAAAAACAAAAGAGGAAAGGGAAATGATGGAGTGCAAGGAAGACCGCACCGGAGATGAAGATGTATGTGGAGAAAGCGAAAGCATCAAAGGGAGGCCGGCAAGCTCCCCGGATGACAGTGTAATTTATTGACAGGAGAAATTTACAACTGCTTTGCAAAATGAAACAGCCTTGCTGAACTGCAGACACCTCTCAGGAGACAGGAATGGGAATCTGGGGTCTTTCAGGATCCCCTGAAGCTGGCAGTAAGCCTGCCCTGTTCTTACTCCTCAGAAGTACCTAGCTAGGGCTCCGGATTCTTTGCAACCTCACACACCACTGCCAATAGGCACAGGCCCATATGTGAAGCCCTTGTTCCCTGTGTGTTTAAGCATCCTTTGCATGTTCAAGCGTTTTAAAATTATTTTTGAGCCATGGTTAAATAACAGTGGATCTCCAAGCATCCTTTTTCAGCTATCCAATGCCTCATTCTTGGGAGAATCTACCCCTTTTTTTAATGTTTTATATGACATTGGAAACTTGCATATACAAACAAATACATAGTATGTATAAACTCACACAAGTATTCATATACCTACAGAATGTTTTAAATTGCTCTTGTTTTTTTACCTTGCTTTTCTCTCTGTAATGTTAGATCTTGAAGATTGTTTCATATCCATATACAAAATGTCAAATGTGCCACTTTTTGGAACCTTGAAGGCCTGAAGTTTCATACTTCCTGTAAATTTTTAATCTGAGGATATTATAAAGAAATTAATTACACTACAAATGAAGGACTAAAAGCAGGATGCAAATTTGGTCAGCTTGCTGCTGCCCCTTCTGATTCAGCTGAAGGAATGAAATAATGTTATTAGGGTGGGGCAGTGCTCAGGACTAAAGGCATTCCTTTCTAGAAGCTCATGTTACCCCTCCTGGCTTTCTACCTCCTGAAGGTCACTCCCTTCAGGCAGAGGGCCCTCTGGGAAGCATATTGAGAATTGATAAGTAGCCATAGGACTTTATATTTTGGGTGACATTCAGTGGCTAGGCAATTTGTTTGCTCCTTTTCTTAACCACTAGTTGGCAGTTGTCTGGTTATCACTAAAGAAGAAGTGAGGTTCACGTATCTAATGGGTTGGTAGCAACACCAGCAATAGAAGAGGCAGTTGTTAAAGTACTACCTCACTAGTCTTGGCCCTGGTCCTCAGTCCTTTCCCATAAGGCATGTTCTTGCCAGTGGTGAGGCAGTGGGGTGGTGGCTAACATAGTGACATACTTCTCCTGCTAAACCTAAAAGTGCCCCCTCTTCCTCTTCCCTGGCCAATGGCAAATGAGCTGAGAATTCAGTTGTATTTTGCATGTTACCTATGGCTACATCCATTGTTCCATGAGCACAGTTTTTAAGAAGTGCTTGCTGTAGTCATGGAGCAGTGATATCTTGGACCACAGTATAGTGCCTTGAAGGGCCCCCAGTAGGGCCTGGCAGCTGCCTGCTTCACCTTCAGGCTGGGGCTTTCCTCTGAACTCTCATTCAGTGATTCTACCAGAGTGGCCAGCTCCTGAATTCTCTTTACTGATTCCTAAACTTATCCTAGATAATGTCATCAGAAGCCACATTGTAAAGTCTGTGTGGAAAGCCTGACGTCCTAGACTAATGGGGACATATACTGAAATCCCACTATCCCCAAAGAACCTGTAACTACATTAAAAAAAATCTCTCATCCTACCCAAATCAAATAATATCCTCTCCCAAGCCTGTATGTACCTCCAGGCCCTGCCCTGGTTGTGTCTGTGTGCTCTAGGCTGTCCCTTTCTATCTGCTAATCTCCTTTTGTCTCAGTCTCTTATTTGGGTCCTGAGGTTCACCCCCTTCCCTCTCCTGAATACCCTTTCTCCACTCTGCCAGCCACTGTGGCTACCACAGCCACTTTTCACCAGAGCTGCTTCATACCAGCTCCTGTGACCCCTGTCCGAGTCTGTGTGAGGCCAGGCTAGGCAGGAGGACTTGTGCAAAGCGTCCTGAGTTATATTTTACATGTCACCTGTGGCTATGTCCATCGTTCCATGAGCACAGTTTTTAAGAAGTGCTTGCTGTAGGCATGAAGAAAATCTGGAGAGGTTTGTTCTAAAGTGCCACCAGGTATATGTGTTAAGAATGTGCACTTCAGAGGCAAATGGAGGTCTAGACTCAAATCAAGACTCGCCCTTGAGTCCTGCTTATTGGTTTGGTCAAGCTAAATAATTTCTGTAAGATACCTCTGATTCCTAATGGGAAGAATCAAGTGTGGTGGTGTGCCCTTGGGCCAGTTGATTTCTTCACTTTTCTGTTCCCTACTTTCCTTGCCTATAAATGGAGGATAGCTTTACAATGTATGTTACAGGTCAGATGAAATAATGCATGTTAGGTAGATGTGTGGCATGGCTGATGCCTCACACTAATGACTCTGGAAAAATTAGCTGCCAGTTGTGTTCATGGTGATTCAGTTGCTATTGTTGATGGTGCTGTTGTACTGTTACCACAATTACAACTTCTCCTGGCTCCTTTGATTACATCCAGCTCTGCGTTAGGTACTGGTATTAGACCAAAAAGCATAGCGGTTACTGACACACTTAGGGTTACTGGAATGTTGGGGCACCAGCAATTCCACTCATTCCATTCCCTGAAGAAATGCCTGGGTTATCCAGCCAGTAACACCAGAAAGAGTGTAAGCAAAGCTTCTGTATCCCATCTCCAATCTTGGCTCAGAGCATCCCTCAGCATCACTAAGGAGTGAAGCCTTATCTTTTGTTTCTAAGAAGTAGCCACAAACATGTGATCTGATCTCATTAAGAAAAAGGCATCAGCTCAAGTACTGTTATGATTGCATGTCAAACCCATCAGCAGTGAGAAGAAGGTCTGTGCAAAATATTGAAAGGGAGATCAGGAATGATGGTGTCTACAGAAGGGTCAGGGGCATGAAAGCAACACAGACCCAACAGATAAAACAAGAATTGGAAGTAACTGATACAGACCATGCAGATTGTAAGACTTAAGGAAAAGAAAAAGAAACAAAGCTTCAAGTACCTAAATGAAGACAACCACATAGGGCCATGCCAGTTTCCCCATGACCTCGAAGGGAAGGTCAAGATGCTGTAAGTCACTTCAGGTGAACTAAGGATGAGTCCCAAGCCATATATATGTGCAGCTGTATGCATATTCATGGCCTGTGCGTACGTGGGTGTGCGAAGCTATCTCTGGAATCTAAGGAGAGGTGAGAGAATAATTCTGCTGTTCTAATTCATTCCACTGAAAGAATTGAGACTTTGCTGTTCAGGTGATTTTCACATCATTTTATCACAGCAGTGCCAAGAACTGCCCCCCAAGTAAATAAAGACTGGTTTTCCAATTTCTAGGCCACTGTACAGTGAGGTTTTAGATGACTATCAAATCATTTCCCAACTACATGTAGTGTCTTAAATGAAGGAGGGAATGAATGCCCATACTGATGTCTACCTATGCACGAACACAAAGCCTGCCTTCCGAGCACAGAGTCTGTTCTTTTTTAGTACATACTCCAGAACATAAATATCCCAGTGAATCAAAATGGTCATCTTGAAAAACAGCTTTGTTATTCTCTCAAATCACTGAAAATTCTCTAAAAAGATTTTTAAAAATTTATTTATGTGGGAGGTGTGTGTATGTGCTGTGCTCTGTGTGTGTGTGTGTGTGTGTGTGTGTGTGTGTGTGAGAGAGAGAGAGAGAGAGAGAGAGGACAACTTGTGGGAGTCTGTTCTCGCCTTCCACCCAACATGTGGGTGCTAGGGATCGAACTCAGGTCGTCAGTCATGGTGACAGCCGCCTTTACCCACTGAGCCATCTTGCTGACTCACTGAAAACTCTTTTGAAATATTTATTATTCAGTTTTTCCTTACATGATTGCAGATTATGAAAAAAGAAGAAGCATTTACTTAATTATTTATTGAACACCTATGCACTGTCAAACATCTTTCTCAACATCAAGGGCAGGGACATCAGTAAGACCTGATGACGTGAGTCTAAGAAGGCCAATCTTATTATCTACATTGCCTCAGAAATAGCGTTCTAAGCATATCCATTCATCTTACTTATTGGTTCCAAACATTAATCTACTCTCAAAGAATGAAGGTCTGATGCTACTAAGAGCATTCAAAATTAATTGTCATCTTTAGCAATGAATGATTCTCCAGTGGAAATTCCTTCCGATGTTTTGGGCAGTGGTGGAATTGTTCAGCCTCCAAAAAATTGCTTTGTGGAAGAGGACTCAATTGAATAGTATTTAAAATATATATGGGGGCTGGAAAGATGGCTTTCTTGCAGAGAGACTGGCTGCTCTTGCAGAGGACTCAGGTTAATTTCCCAGCATCTGTATGACCACTAACAACTGTCTGTAACTTCAGTTCCAGGGGAATCAGACACCTTCTTCTGACCTGCACAGGCATTGCAGGACACTGATGCACTTACATACATGTAGGCAATACACTCATACAATAAATAAATAAATATTAAAATATATGAGTATATGTATGTGTGTATATACAGTGACTCATTTTATATTTCCACATTCACTTCAGTAGAATATGTATTATGTTCACACATAATGCTTCCTGTTTAGGATGTATCTCAAATCTATGGAGTTCCCTGATAGCCACCTCCTAGGCCTAAGAGCTGACAAGTAATTCATTGATCTCTTATTATTTTCCACCTTTTCTAGAATCCTAGGGAATCGAGTGGCAGAGCTGGAAAAGAAATTAAGAACTTTAGAAGTTTCTGGTTTGTGGAGTCTTCCGGGTAAGCAGAAATTCATAAATACTGATTTTTCCTTTTGTTTGGGATTTTGTTCATTTTCTTAAGAGCTCCCTCACATAATTTGCAAGGATTCTGCATGTTGGATTGGAAGCCCCTTTATTTGGAAATTGTTGCTGAATAATCCACAAATGTTTCAAATTTTAAAAGGAAGTGGTAGACTGGGAAAAGAGGAAAATTCAGAAATAGACAATAAACATTCCAGTTCTTATCAGTGGGATACTGAAGTTTTGCTAACCTAAACTTTCAAGCTATCAATGTGTGTGTGTGTGTGTGTGTGTGTGTGTGTGTGTGTGTGTGTGTGTGTGTGTGTGTGTGTGTGTGTGTGTGTGTGTGTGTTGTGTGTCTGTGCGCACACATGCTTGTGCTAACCTTTGTAGATGTCGTGAGTTTCTTCGTTTTTATCTGTAGGCATGTTAGAAAGATTTGTTCCGTGTAATCTTCCTTCCCAAAATGAATATGAGAATATACAAAGATTTGTTCAATTTAACATCAGTCCTAAAAATGAATATAAGATCTTACAAAGATTTGTGCAATTTAATTATCAGCCCTAAAACAGAATGTAAAAACACACAAAGATTTGTTCAGTTTAATCACCAGTACTAAAAATGAAGAGGCAACGATGTCCCTAACCCAGACGCACTTCACAGGCACCTTCTCCTACCTTCCCCCTTTCAACATTTTTACGTAGCTTGAAAACAAAAATATCCTGAGGAGGTTATTTCCCCCCACATTTGTACGTGTGAGAAGCTGATATTTCAATCTAATGAGCTATACTTTTCCCATTTATCCTGATAAAATACCCCTTTCAGGAGACCCTGTCTGTTCTTTGCCTTCGTCTTTAGGCTGTTAGGAAACTTAGGTTTATCATTTTCTACACCTCCTTGTTCCCTGGAAGGAACATTGTCCGGGTATTTTTAGTCCCTTGCCCTTTCTGCACAGAGCGCAGTCTCTCTTCCCTTGGCTCCCGTGGGCTGCTTTCCTGTACGGAGGAGAAATAGAAATTGCTACAGAGGTGGACAACATAACGTTTTCCTCAGTGTAAATCTTACGTTGCCTGCAAGTATGTTTCATAAATTGGAATTTTTCACAGAGATTCCTTGAACTGGATGTCAAAAGACCTCACAGAACTAATTAGTGGCGAGTACCACCCTGGGGGTTTGAATGATCCGTTTTATACAGTCCGCTTTTGATGCTGTTCAAACTTCATCTTCTGTGAAGGCCTCTCTTTTATTACATTGACTTTCAACACAGTTGGACAAATTTGTCGTCTGTTTGTGCAGCTAGATTGCAGTTTCTGTGCGTGTACCGAAGCTTTGAATTTTTTTCCCTCTCAAAATGACTTAGTGAATTTTCCCACTGTTTCATTTGTGTAATTTATGTAAAAAGATGGAAGTTGAATGAGTGGATGAATGCTAGGAGTTTCCTGTGCCTGGTATTTATTTGGTCAGGTGAGACTTCAAATGGCTGTTCTGTAATAACAACTGTTTTTTCCTTCTTTCTGCTGCGGAAGGCCTGAGCTACAATGTTTCGGTTGGATTTGGGAGTACGTTTTTTAAAAAAAAATATGGGGAGGGATTGTGGCTAATATTAAGGACTTCTATCACCTCTGCATGTAAACAGTAGAAATTCATTATCCATCTCTCTGTGATAGGCTCAGGCCTTTCCTGATAGAATAGCCCATTGAAACAGAGAATTCAACTAATGCAAAGTAAGTATTAGCGAGTGCACTTAGCTTGAGAGACAAGCTTGGGTGGATGTTTTATTGTGGGCAAGGAGGTTCTAGTGTTTGACGTCCACACAGATACAAAAGAAGGACAGGAGAGTAGCACTTCCCAGTTTGGATACAGTCTGTGCCATGGCAACAGCCTCACTTGGACATGCGTGAAGCATGTGTGGATGGGTTAGGGTGTTTGCATCATTGGTGAAAATAAGGGTGGGGGGGCACCTCTTCCTGTGTGAATCACACCAGCCTTCAGCTCCTTGCTTCACGTGTCTTCATTTAATATGCTGCAGGGTGGAGCAAGAGACAATGTGTTGTTTCCACTTCTCCTCCTTCTCCTCCTCTTTCTCGTCCTCTTTCCAAACAGCAGCAAGATCAGAGTTGGGGATGCTGAGTCCCAATGGATTCAGAGAATTGTCCACTCTGTCTTATTTACCAGCAACTTGAAGGGAACAATGTCTTCTTCAATAAGTCAGACCATCCATGGATTGGTACCTATTTTGGGCTTTAGCTTTGTGCATACAGCATGGCACCAGGCAACTTGGTCTTGTCCCTCATACTCCTTGGAGCTGCAGTCCAATAAGCAAGATGGATCCCCATCAATGAAAACAGGAAGTTGTGTGGGGCTTAGTGTTGAATGTGTGACCAAGACATTATCATGAGGGGGGAATGAAGGGCAGAGTCATTGAATGCCACCCCCCGACCCGAAGAAGAGTTAAGAACAAGAAGTTCCAGGATGGCAAATGCTTGGTGTGCATTATACAACACCCATTCTCATACCAGTGGCAGACATTGCTAATCTATCGCAGCATTTTTCCTTGCTGATGTGGCCCTCAGAGCTGGCTTTCCAGGAAACTATCTCCTGGACAGAGCTGACATATGCAAGAACAGTCCCCCTTTCTCCATCTTGTCTGAGCTGTGTGACTTAGATGAGAAAACAGAGGGAAGAAGTTAACCAACACCTAAGGCCAAGAGGTTGGCAGTAAACTTGGGTGTCTCAGGTCTTACCAGTCATTTTACAGGGGCTGGGTGACCGGTTCTGAGATGAGAAAGAAGGGCAACCTGGGTCAGTGAAGCCTGGTTCCCAAAGCAGGGCCAGAGAGAAGTAATTTAGAAGCCAGAGCAACCTCTTCTGAGGCTGTTGTGGACTGTGGTGGAAAAGCCCATGGCAGAATGAATTATAAGTCGACTCTTGCCCCTTCTTCACTCTCTTGACCAACACCATAGTCTTTTCTTTTCTCTTTTGAGACATAGTCTCATGTAGCCCAGTCTGGCCTTGAACTCAATATGGTAGCTGAGGATGACCTTGAACTTCTGATCCTCCTGCCTCTACCTCCCCAGCACTGGAAGTGCAGGCATTCATGGAGGCATCCTGTTCATGCGGTGCTGTGGGTTAAACCCAGGGCCTCATGAATACTAGACAGTCCTGCTACCAGTTGAGCTAAATTTCCACCCCATCATAGAGATCTTGATGGTATTTGTTAGATTTGGGGCCAATTTATGATCTTGCTGGGAGGTAGACACATTGGACAAATGTTGCAGGCCCTAGAGAGAAGCCATGTAGATCGCTCAACCTATTCCAAGCTGTCTGACCTTTCCCCTAGTGAAAAGCTAGGGGACTACTGCAAGGAAGCCGGAGGTTGGGTCCTGCAGGTCACAGGCCTCAGCAAGGACGAATCCCTCTTCCCACACCTACTGGCCTGCTTCTTTTTGTTTCACCCCATCTCCATAGGTGGCTCTGAGGAGTCTTGTCTCAGATGTATTCATACTCTACAGTGAAACACCAAGGGCTAGGGAGATGGCTCGGTGGGTAAAGTGCTTGCTGCACATGTGTAAGAACCTGCATTTGAATCCCCAGAACCCATATAAGTCTAAGCATGCTGGTGCACATCTCTAATCCCAGTGCTCCTATGGCAAGATGAGAGGTATAGACAGGAGAATCCCCAAAAGCTTACAGGCCAGGCTCTTTTGAATTTTTCATTTTTATTCTGCCTTTACTCTAGGCATCAGCCACAGGGTTGAAAGTACAGTTTTAGAGACAGAGATGAGGGCTTTGGTACCATAAGGAGTAAGCAGAGCTTATAACACCTATAACACCAGCTGTACTGGCCTTCTGCACTGGTGGTCCCTTGATCCCAGAGTGTGGACCTCCTTTGTACCACACCCTGTCCTCTAAGCCCAAGAGCTCCCATGAAAGCATAGGTGAGCAGACTGTCCATCTTAGTTCAGCCGGTAGAGATGGCTCTGGACACACAGAACTAAGAGCCTTCCGGGAAAGCATTTGAATTATTCAAACACAGAAAGAGTGACCAGATCCTGGCATTCTGCTAAGATGGGGACACTCTTTCTAGGGAAGAGATTTTTTTTCCCACCCTGCATGACTGGTGTGGACGAAGCCTGGCTTCTGTTTGCCTTCTCTATGTACTCAGTGCCTGGATTTTTGCAGAGGTCTCTTGTTGCTTTTGTGAAAAGTCATCATGGGATGGAGCATGTCCTAGAGTTGGTGGGATCAAGGAGATATTCCACACTCAAGATTTCCGGTGGGAAGAAGCCCTGGCTGCCTTAGTCACTTAGCAGTCACTTAGCGGGTTCCCACTCTGACCCTGCTTCTGATTCTTTGACCCCCAGGCCAGAGGGATGCAGAAGGGACAGAGCTTTCCCAGAAGGCTGGTGAGCTGCCAATATACCTGGCAGATGGGTCATGAAATGCCATCCTGACCTTGACCTGTATAGATAAACTGTACTGTTGTGATGAAGAGAAAGGAAAGAAATCTATCTTGAGGCACCTGTTGCCCCTCATGATTCCCACAGCCAGTCACCATGAATCCATGAAGGTGTTTCCAGATTGTGTCTTTGTACCCTACAAGAGAGATGACTAGAGATGTCATTCTGGGAGTTTCCAAAGCACCCTGAGCCATAAACCCTCAGTTCTCTTTGGCCAACCCCTCCAGACAGTAGCCCCAAAGGTCTCTTATTCCACCTAAGAGAGTGGAAGTGCCTTGCAGAACTTCAGGATCAGCTCCAAGCAGGTTCTCTTCTGCTGGCCTGACACTCAGGGAACAGAAAAGCCACAAGCCTTGAACCAGTGGCTGGTGACTTGCCTTTTGCCTGAAGTAGCAGCAAGCCCTGGTCATACCAGATGCCAGGACCCCCAATGTACCTTAGCCAGTGACTCAGAACTTATAAGGCATTTAGTAAGCCCCTATTATATGAGGAACTCTCTAACACAGTTTTAGAAATCAAGTTAATGAGACAGTCTTATAAAAAGCAAAAGGAACTCAGGGAGCACAGCAATGGACTGTGTTTAGGTTCACCGGGGTTTCTAAAGGAAGAGACTGCTGTCTTTGCCCAAGTGTCCTTCTGGACTCTGCTAAATGGGAAATGAAGTAAAATCATGGAATTCTAGAGCCTCTGATCTGGGTCCAGAGACCTTTAGTGGGGACATCACCCTGATTTAGAGAAGGCCTTTTTCTAATCCACACTGAAACCCAAGCTGGACTCATGGTCTAGAGCTTTTGTTTTGGGTACAGTGGCTTCCACTAGAGAATCGTAAAGCCTTGCCAGACAAACCTTGGTATTGTACCCTGCTGGTGGGCTCTCCTGACCCTGTGGATGGCATCACTGTATGTCCACATATTTGGTCCCCATGCGTCTGCTTATTATGCCCATGTTCAAAGCCACTCTTTCCTGTTGCTCACCAGTGTAACCTGCCTGGTGACTGCAGTGGAGTGTGGTACATTTCCCCTGGCCCTTTTGTTCATCCCAAACAAATAACAGTAATGTGCAGCAGCAATGAAGCTAGCTGTATGTTCCAAGTGGGAATTCAGCTGGGATAATATGGAGGACTTGATACCACCTGCCGTGTGACAGTTACACAATGGAAGTGACCAGATGGAATTAGGATTGCTATCAGGTGTGTGGGAGTCAGTGCTGGTGATGGTGATTTCATGATTTACTGCATGCTCACTAAACACCCAAGGCCATTTCATGATCATTTCATCTTCATAACTACCCATGATGAGAAATATGAAGCTCAGAGAGGTAAAGTGACATCCTTGATGTGAGCCTGCCAGCAGATGACACTGTCAATATAGGGTCCCTAAAAGTCCTCTACTGCTGTGACTGCTGTCCCAACCCGCCTCTTGGTTCCCCACAGCTGTAGAGGCTTCCCTTTACTGGTGATACTTGTGGACAGCTATTCCTGAGCAGCCCTGAGGGATGAGTCAAGGTCTTCCATCACCTACACTGCCCTGCTCCATCCTCATACTAGAGGAAGACCTAGTGGCTATGACCCCTGAACTGCCCACACCTGAAGGAACTTCCTAACCTAACAGCCAGCTTATTGTATAAGAGTGTCTTAATTTCCTATTTCTGTTGCTATGACAAAATACTCTGACAAAAACGACTCAGGGAAGGAAGGGTTTACTCAGCTCACATTCCAAGATACAATCCATCATTGTTGGCAAGGTGGCAAGAACTTGAAGAACTGGAAGCAACTAGTCACATTCCCAGTCAAGAGTAGAGAGAGAATGAATGTGCACATGCTGTACTCAGCTTGCCTTCTCTGTTGATACAGTCTAGGATCCCCTGCCTAGGAAATGGTGCCACCCACAGTAAGTTTGCTCTCCTACCTCAAGTAATGTAATCAAGTTGATACCCAACAGACAGACTACAGGCCAACCAGATGTCGATAATCCTTCATTAAGACTCTTTCCCCAGGTGATTCTACACTGTGTGAAGTTGACAATTAAAACTTTTATAGGGTGTAAATGTTACTCAGCTCAACTGATGACATGACACGCCCACTTTCCCATTTTCCTCACAGGGGGCAAGGACACCATACTGTTCAGTGACCCAGCTCTTCCCACCATACAGAGGTCAAGGTCCCCACTGTTGAAGTTTGAGGAGCAGCCCACCGAGAACCAGGAGAATGCCAGGGATGGTAAGTGCATCTTGGGTTTACTGTCCCCACCTGGCCTATGCTGTCTACAGAGCACACTGTTGGGGCCAGCATCCCCTCTCCTCACAGCTACCATGGCACCCATGGAGCAGCCCCCATACCTCTTCTTGTTGCTTACTTAATTTCTTCTTGTTGAGAAGTCCCAACAGAAAAACACAGCCCCCCTGCCCTTTGGGTATAGAGCTTAAGAGTGAAAACACAGACGTGGGGAAAGTGAAGTTCGTATTCCAGCCCCCAAATCATAGTAGCAGGGACAACTTGGGTGTGACTCAGCCACAGTGTCCTCTCCTATAAAATGGTGACATGGTAGAGAAATCTTGGTACATTGCCTGCACACGGTAAATGGTCTGGAAGCCAGTAGAATGGAGAGAAAGTCTCTGCCGGGCACATGGTCCTGGAAGCAGGTGTTGGAAGGAGACCCATTTAAGAGAATTGATGATGTAACAGATGTAAGTACCAGATGTCTTCCCATGTGGCAGTCTTGTTTCCCCAACAAAACTCTCCTTTACATTGTTCGCTGATTTTGTTTGTTTTTATGTATATGACTGTTTTGCCTAATGTATGTAAGAGTACCACATGCATGCAATGCCCACAGGGGTCAGAAGAGAGTGTTGAATCCCCCTGGAACTGGAGTTACAGATGCTTATTAACTGCCATGTGGTTCCTGAAAACTGAACCGGGGTCCATTGCTCTTAACCACTGAGCCATCTCTCCAGCCCCCTATTTGAAGTGTTGCTTGTCTTCTTTCTTCACCCTCAAGATAGTAGTCAGTTTCTAAGATGCTCTGGCTGAGCCTTACCCTTGGTATTCATACCATTGTGTGGTCCTCACCTGCACTACAATTGCTAGAGTATGCAGATATATGTCTGAGGCTTGGAGATAGAAGACCATAGAAGAATACCCCCTCTGTCTGTCTCTCTCTGAACATTCACTCTGAAAGAAGTTGGCCACTAGGTCCTGAGGTTGTTCATTCAGCCCCACAAGCTGATGGTGTGGAGCTAAGGCCTCTAGTTGCCAGCCATGAGAGGGCACCATCTTGGAAGCAGTTTCTCCAGCCCCAGTCAAACCATCAAATAACTATAATCCCAGTCAACATTTTGATGAGTCCATGGGAGACCTTTTTAGTCAGACCCATCCCAACTGTTCCCAGAGCCTTGGGTTTTGAAGGAAACTCTGAAACACTAATAGATAACTAGCAGTCCCAGCCTGTGACTGTCAAAGGTTCTTTTCTTGAACATCTATGTTTCTTCTCCATATTCTCTTGCTTAGAGTTAGATCTTTGGTCATGAACTCCATAAAGACATTCTCACTCCCCACAAACAGTTTCTGTCTATCTACAATCTTCTATTTCTCAGAACCTGAAATTTCCCAGCAAACATTCTGTGGACTTCCTGGTATGACATCACCACCTCGTCCTTCTTCCTCCCTGTTGCCTCCTTTTCAGTTACTTAGGCTTGAAATCTTGTAGTCATCGACCCCATCAGCATCTCTTCTCCATCCACATCTGGTCTGTAGCAAAAGTCTTTCTGCATTCTTGGGCCTCAGTCCCCCCACCTATGGCTCAGTTCAGGCCTTCACTACATCACTGGCAGGTCCACTTCTGGCCTTTCCACCTTCTAACCTGTCCTTGCTCCTTTACAGGGTCAGACCACAGTGATACTTCATGTCCCATTTATGCCTTGCTCAAAGATCCCAAGTGGCTATCACTTAAAAATCTCATCTCTGGGACTGGAGAAATGGCTCAGCAGTTAAGAGCACTGGCTGATCTTGCTGAGGACCTGGGTTCAATTCCCAGAACCCACATGGTAGCTAACAATCATCTGTAACTCCAGTTCTAGGGGATCCAACACCTTCTGACTTCCATGGGCACACAGGTACACTTACATTCATTCAGGCAAAACACTCATACACAAAATAAAATAAAAATCACAGCTCTAAAGCATGGTCCAGCTTACCCTTCTACCCAGATGATGGCCCAACCTTCTATCCAGATGGACTGACCAGCTGCCTCAGTTAGGCTATACTGTGAAACCAGCCACCTCACAACTTACAGCACTCACATAGCTGAATAGCTCATCTGGGTAGACAGGCGGTTCTACCCTCCCGAGCTGGGGCCAGCCAGGTTCACCCATCATTCTGTATTTGTTCATATAGCTCATCACAGAGCCTGTGGTGATAAGGGTAGAAGCCAGGACATTTCTGGGATGTCAACAGAAACATTCCCAGGTACCTATGCAGGAATTCCTGGGTAGAGCCCCTCACCCTGATAGGTCTACACTGGTCAGGAAAACAAGATTAGGTATTTGCAGCCCACAGCACAGATATTTGCTGTCCTGGTGACACTGGGACCCTGTGTCATGGCTGGGAGTCATCCCATGCTGACAATTAATGTCTTTGTGACACTCCAAAGTCTCTGTCTGCTCTGGGCTTGCTGAACCTCTGGGTGGCCTGGGACCACTGCATTGAAATGAATTTAAGCTGGCTTAATTTTCAGAAGGGCAGCATGAGTGAGGGATTGATTTGAAATGATAGCTTCCAGAGTCCCGTCATCAGTGCCCATTGTTCCTGCCCATCCTGAGCCAGCGCTGGGTGGAACAAGGACACATTCACTGAGAGGCTGTCAGTGTCCCAGTGGCCTCATCACTGCTGTGGCCTGATTAATTCCAAAGGAAAGCTGCCACATGCAGGAGGACAAAGCCCATCCAAACCAGCCAACAAAGGATGACAAATGTCCCCTCTGGGCCCAAGAGTGGGGGACACATCTTCAGGGGGCTAGCAATCTTTTCTACTACACAAGTTTCCTTTTCATCTTTTAGAGAAAACAACAATATTTTTCTCTCCACTCTGTGTCATGATGCATTTGCCTTATCCTTATTGATGTGTGTATTGTGACTAATAAGTATTAATGATATTAATTCTGTTTTTGACAACAGCCCAGAATAATTACTATTATTTGCAATAATATTTCCCAACTCTTGGCTAATTCAGAAATCTTTTATGGAAATGGTAGTATTATGAATCTGTAATTAAAAGAAAAATTCAACTCTCCACAGCTTAAGAGTTAATGTCCCAGGACAACAGCATGAGAAGAAGACCTGGTTCCCATAGCACAGGACCAGAGGTTCTGGTGAGGGCACGGGAGCTGGGACACTTTTGGAAACTCTTCCGTGTATCCTAATAATGGCTTGAGCATGCTGCTTGGGTGTCTTTTAGATAAGCACAAGGGGAAAATGGATTGATAAACTCTTCCATACACTCTAATTTCTAGAACCTGGCCCTGTATTTTTCTGGTCCTGAGCTCTGCTAATACAGCTTCTCAGGAAAAGCAAGTAAGTAGGAGCAGACAACAGACCCACAGCCAGGGTCCATAATCCCCTTTGGTTGTTCACTGTTCCTTTCCACTGCCCATCATCCTCTTTGAGCATCCATCAGGTGCCCATTGTCCCCTTCCTATGGCTATGCTGTAGCCTAGTGATGACAATGACTATCTTCCCCACCCCACCACCACACACACACAAAAAATAGTTTTAAAAAACTCTTTTCCCTGGTACTAATGGGTTACCACTAAAAAAAAGGAAGTGGGGGAGGGGAAGGGGGAAGGGGAGGAAGGGGAGGAGGAGGAGAGAAACGAAGAGGAAGATGATGAGGAAAACATTTCTACATCTAAACACAATTGGAATATATCTAAAGAAATAGCACAAGGCAAAATACCAGTGACAAAGGCCCCCAGCACATTTAGACTAACTTCCTTTAGATGTAAATGAAAGTAGCAAAGATTTCACCTGACCCACAGTAAAAACACATCACAAATGGTTTAGGGGTGAGGCTGTTCTGAGGAAGGTTAATTAATTTTTCAGGGGCACCAGAATATACTATTAAGTGTCCTAGAAGAAGTAATTTCATAAGAGTAATTTCCAGAAGGAGTTTATTCATCTCACATTGATGAAATATTTAGCTATAGAAAATACCATAATTTGCTCCTTTTGAATAACGCTTCTCTACTCTGCCGGGAGCTTGCTTGTTTTTGACTCACTGTTTCTCATGACCCCTTTGCAACCACTATAAAAATTTTCATTTGTTAGTAAGAAATTTATGTGATTACTTCCCTGGGCTACCTCAGATGTAGCTAAATGTTTGTAGGAATTAGAAATCTCTATCTCTTTTTCATAAAGTACCATTTTAAGCAGTTTTAGAGTAACTACCTGAATATACCCCAAGATGAATACCATGAATTTAAGACTTGCTTCATAAAATGACTCATGGTATTTAAGATGTGTGCTAATATATTCACTTTTTCATGCATACATGTATAAGTCTATATATTCAAGCACTTAATAAGATATTTATTGAGTCTCTGCTATAGAACATTCCCAAAGTTAAAAAATTAATCAGGCAGGACTTGATATTTAAGGTGGTTAGTTATAAGTAACAATTTGAGGTGGAAAAAATTAAAAGCACTAAGCTTCCAGGAGATCCAAAGCCTGCCTTGTAGAAAGTCAGTTACCAGGAGTAGGACTTGTGGCCAGATTTACTCAAACAGGCTTCACAGAGGAGGGGGGACACTCTGATGCTCAAAGACTGTCTTTGGGTTATAGAAGGGAATGAACATCCCCCCACCCCTGGGCCTGCTTTATTCATTACGAATTCTCATGTTTCACTGAAAGACAAGCACTGGGCCCATTTTCCAGGATAATACTTGTGGAGAAGAGAGAAAGTTGTCCATCAGCCCCCTAAGCAAAGGTACTGGGACAGAGATGTGACACCATGAGGGACTGGCATGGCTGGATGGAGGCCTACAAGAAGAGTTGCTAGGAGATCAGATAGAAAGAGAAATGGGTATCAGGTCATAGAAGGCCATGAGCACCAGGTTATAAGTTTGGGCTTTGTTCCTCAGGATCTAAAGCCTTTGAAGGTTTTCTAGCTGGAGGAAGAGATGGTATGATTTGGACTTCAAGGTTCCAGTGCTTCTCAAACTATAATAT